CTTGGCCTCCTCCCTGTGCATCTCTTGTCTGAGCTGAGGCATCCTCCCACATGGAGAAAGGAGCTGTGCAGGATGATGCAACATCACTKGTCCATCCGTTCTTCTCCATGCCTTGTCTGTCCTTGCTAAGAGAGAAAAAAGTCATGACTTAGGTACATCATGGGGTCATTTTTTCGTGGTGACTTTAAAAAAGGAAGGCTTTCCTGCCTTTCCTTTAGCCTTTCAGTGATCATTTGAGATCCTACCTGTGTTTGTGACCATTCYTGAACTATGAGCTGGAATTTTTAAAGCACTGTCTGCAGCAACCCCAAGCAAAATGACACATGACTGAGAGCTGAAGGAAGCACYGTGTGCTCACAGAGTAGAGAACTGCTTGTCCAGGTACACTCTGAACAATTTCTGATTTTATACTTTGCCAGTGCATTTATTAGGCTCTTTAAGCCTGGGGCACATCTGCTTGGTTGGCTTTGGCAGTGCTCTGACTCCAGCAATCAAGGCAAGCAGACCAAAGCATTTCCAAAATCATGGTCATATTTGAGAACTCCCTGAGTTCCTGGCTGGGTTATGTGGATGCTGTGCTAGGAAGAAAGAGGAAGCAYTGGTTTGAGCTGTAGATTATAATTGTTTCAGTGTGGACTTGTAACCTCCTGAAAGTGCAGTCATCCATGTATCAGGCACTGGTGCTGGTAACAGCGGTGTAATCTGGCCCTGGGATTATTCTGTGTACATCCCCAGCTCATTCTGTGGTTTTGAATTTCCCTAAAATAGTTYTTTTTCCTAAACTTAGGCAGTAAAGATGAAATTCCCCTTAACTGCATTTTGATTCCTGTTTGTAAAAATGCTATTGTCTCACTGCAAAAATTAATTTGATCACGAATACCTTATATTCTCATTGCTCCACTATTCGCCTCTGTGCCTGGAGACCTCTGTTCCTTTTCATATGTGTTTTGATATAAAACTCTTGGACAGTGTATGTGTTACATGGGCATGTGCTACTGAGAGACTACACAGTTGCTTCTTCATTGAGAATAGGTTTGTTWATTAGGGCTGCATTTCCAGTTTTTGCTTGTATTTAAGTTTCTCTATTTATCTAAGTTCAAGTCATCTTCCCACTCTTGGCAATTTCCACTAGTTCCACTTGTATAGGGCTTCATTTATTTCAGACCAACCTTGCTGGTCAGGATGTTCTGTCCATTTTATTCAATAACAGAGTTAAGCTGGTGACTCTGATCTCTCTTCCCAAGACACAACACGTGAGTGACACATTTACGTCTATCTCTTAGATTTACATCTCTCTACACTATTGAGTTGAGCTACATTTTCAGAAAAAAAAAGGCAGAAGTGTAAATAGAAATGTATTAATTTGTATATTGAGACAATATCCATAGAATTGCAATGGTTGAAAACTTCAAGTGGATTTAGGGGGATAGCAGCAGTATGCCCCTGCACTGTGTGCAAGAGATGATTTAGGGAAAGGAGAAAGGAGTGCTGGGGTGTTTAGATGACTGCCCTGTTTTGCTTTGTCACAGAAAGAGGGATAGTGTAAAGGGCAAGGTGGGGGGCAGAACAGCTTTTGTATTTGGGCATGGGCAGGGAGAAATAACTGTAATGCTGTAAATATTGCAGCTGACACAGCAGAGACCCATTTGGCTTGGAATATAGGGCAATAAATGCAGTCAGGTGATYCAGGGGTGCTGTGCATAAGTCTGCCAGGTAGTCAGGCGAGAGCAGATCAGGAAATAATTATGGCTGATAAGGGGAGCTTGCAAGGAGGCCAGCACCTTCTGTGACCATGAAAGGTGTTAATGATTAACTGTTGTGGAAAAGCTGGAAGCACATTCTCCCCTTCCTTCGGAGTCACACCCGGCTGCTCTCCTGCATCATTAACTTTAGCGCTGCCCTGTGAATGCAGCTGGGCGTGAACCAGCTTTAATTCAGGGCAGCAGGATGTGAACAGGGAACTGGCTGCTTCCGACAAGGGCACGGTTGGCACCCTGCTGTGTCTATCCAGGTGCCTGGGTCTCGGTGTTAATTCCTGGGGAAAGCAGGCGAGATTGCTGTCCTCTGTATGCTGCAAATGAAACCCTGTCCATGGGCTCCTGTGGGTGGGTGAATGGCAGGAAGCTGTGTGGCTTTAAAATTTGGGCTCAAGATGCAAGAGGGAGGAAAGGGGAAATGTTCTGTCGTTTGAGTAGATGCAGCAGTGCATGACTGGGGTGCTTCAGGCCAGGGACACCAGTATACAGAACGCAGCTCCGCAGGTGCTGTAATCATGAGCTTGTACCTTATGGCACTGCTGCAGGAGCCTGAAGAGGCCACAAACCCTGTTAGCAGTGTATGATGGTGCCCAGGATAAACGAGATGAGATTTGGATATCCTGGCTCCGTGTATTCCTGAGTTTGGCCAAAGGGAGGCAAGGATAGTGACCACACAGCAAGCTGGCARCTCCTCCAGTTTGCATCAGCCCTTTGCAGCTGAGAACTGCAGAGAAAAACAGCATCTTCTGCACATGGCTGCTCCTTCTGTCAACAGCTCCCCTGGAACAGTGAGGTCAGAGCCATGTCCCATGCTTGACAGGCACCAAAACACAGGCTGGAGATTTACTCCATGTAGGGAACTGSCCTGGAATGTTAAGGCATTGGTGGTATTAAATATACACAGCGGAGATGTGCCGGAGCTGTAGTTGGGATCTTGAGCAGACTTTCCTTTGCAACCTTTCTGTACAGCTCTTAGAGTGATTGCTAATGGATTTTACTTGATTAATGCTAGCTAATTAATTTTTATTAATTAAGTCCCAGTTAGTGACTTGTGTCCAGGTTTCAGCTGGGATASAGYTCACTTTCTTCCTAGTAGCTTGTATGGTGTTGTAGTTTGGAATTAGGAGGAGAATAATGTTGATWATAGGAAAGATGGGGAGGCACTTTTTACAAGAGCATGTAGTGACAGAACAAGGGGGAATGGCTTTTCTCCCTAATTCTCTTCCCCATCTCACTGTGGRGGGAGTGAGCAAGCAGCTGTGTGGTGCTTAGCTGCCTGCTGGGTTAAAYCACAACAGGCCCARCTAGAAACCTCTGCACARYCCACCTGCAATCAGCAAATATTCCCTGCTCAGATCTGCCCCTGGCAAGACAAGGTGCTGCCAACCCCACAGACCCACCGTGCTGGACCCACAGGGCATGTAAAGGTGTGTTGTCAGGCCAGAGGCCATGGGGAGGCAGATTCACTGGCTGCTGTTGCTGTATGTGCTGGATAACCTTGGCCAAGATCCAGACTCCATCATCATTTCTGAGAAAATTACGTCATTAATGTAGCGTCGTAATCGATAGGCCATGGCCCTGATTCAGCAGGACACTTAAGTGCATGGCTAATATCCATCACACAGTCTGCTACCTTGATGGGTTGCTTGCTTTTTTTTTTTTTTTTTTTTTTT